AAGAACATGAATTTATGTGTGTGTTCGCATTAATATACATCTCTTTTTTTTGAAAGAAAAACTGCTTATGGAAGTACAAGGTTTTTTTAACGCGCATCAGTAGTGCTGTGCATCTTTCGCCTTCCTAGGGCTTTTAGCCGCTAGGTGTTGTCGTCCTAGGGCTTTTAGCCGCTAGGGTCAATTTTCCACTATCGACATTAGTCGAGGAGCGGCGTTTTCTTCTTCGATTTGTGAAGCTCGGTGAGGAGGATTAGTGGGTGGCTAGGACGAGTGTTGCGGATTTAGGCGCTCCAATCTTGTGGCTATTTTGACGGACGGATGGCGGAGGGAGGTCGGCTTTGGTGTGACAGACAGGGACTAGATGAAGAGAGACGACGGATTTTATTGTGTGCTAGTTGTGCGGGTTTTTGTTTTGCTTTCTTTAATTTGCAAATTGTGGTCAGTCATGACTTGCTTGTCTATCGCTTCACGACTCAAAGAATGGAGGATTGGCGTTTGGCAACGTGAAGGTATGAAAGCGAGTTTGATCAACAAGGAGTAGGATGAGGAAGAAGATGCAACCCTGTTGGTCTGACCTCCTCCTGAACCGCCGCCACTGGTGGTGCTCGGAAGGTTGGGAGAAGACATTTATTTTGTTGCATTTATTTATTTTGATAGCCTAAATTTGTTTGTTTATGTTCGGTTTTTTATTTCTTTCTACTCTAAGACTGTGTATTTAGATGTGAGTAATGAAGGGATTTTGGTGACCGTCTTTTGCGAGTGCAATTTTGTTCACTCCCTCCTTGGAGGATGAACATAACTCCCTCTCTATTTGCTTGCCATGTGGCAAAAAAAAAAAAGAAATGAAATGCCAAATGATAACATTTGAGCTATGAGGGTGATGTTCACCCTCTAAGGAGGGGGTGAACAAAATTGTACTCGTCTTTTGCTCATTTGTGTCCATAAATGGATCAACGAGTTATATTGCTTCTGTCGAGGTGATAAATTATGAATCTGGTTCGAGGGTTGGCGGTTGTCAGGAGTCTTTTCGTCGGTTTACCTACTATCTAAATGATGTGTTATCATTTATCGATTTAAGCCTATTTCTTCCCAAAGAAAAAGAAAACCTGCTTATATTAATATCTTTAAAATTAAGATATTTACATCAAACTTCAAGAGACCAACACTAACAACTACTATCTGTAAACTATCACTGTCAACCCTACGACTAGATTTAGAAACGATCACTCCTGAAAGGGCAATATGAATAGTTCACCACTAACAATCATAGGTCATATAGATCCTTCTAACGACATAATACCTAGCTGAATTCTCAATCATTATGGAAGACCTAAGAAATAAAAATTGAGAAAACCAGACTCATTTCTGCCAGTTTTCTTGAAACACCATCTTCCAAGTCCTAACATCTCCAGCGCTCCAAGTTGGTGGTTCAGGAGGGGGACGGACCGTCGATCTGTCTTCTCCCTTGTTCAACCCTTTACTGCCCGGGCCACCTCCTAATATGTCTTCGTCCTTGACAATTTCCACATTGTGACATTGATCCACCAACTCCTCCATTGGACTACCGTAGAAAGTTTTGACGCACGCTGTCTCTTGGAAATCCTCGAAGACCTCATCCCTTCCTGGTTCTATATCGCACTCTACCCTGTGTTGATAATCGTCGAAGCACAAGAAGAGAAAACAAACACTCACACTAGGGCGGGGCTCCATTGTTCGCACTTTGGCGAGAAAAACTAACTCGCACATAGGCAAGAGAAATCTTCCAAAGGGCAAAAAATGTGGCTTGCTTCGCTAGCTTTCTATGAATTCTGTATTCCTTAGCTAATATGCACATGTTAAAAATGATAGTGTTGGCATTTATTTAAAACCTTTTTTCAAAACTTATTAAAATTAAAAGTAATAAAATCAAGAAATATACTCCCTCCAGTTTTTAATAAACTTCACACTTTCCTTTTTGGGACGGTCTAAAATAAACTTCACACTTCTTTATTTCCTTTTTTGGCAAAGAAATTTACATCAAAACAGTGCCAAACAGTGTCTCAATAGTGCCAAACAGTGTCTCTACAGTGCCAAACAGTGCCTTAACAGTGTACTCTACAGTAAAGTCAAATTTCTTTCCTTATTTTGTGTGAAGTCAAACTGTGAAGATTAAAAAAAACCGGAGGTAGTATAAAATTTTAAATTCATATATTTAATGGTCATTTTACTTCTTAAAAGTGAATTACAAACAACTAAGTTACTAACAATTTATTCCAAACTGTTAATGAAAACAGTTGAAATCTATTGATTCAACCAGGTATTTGACATTTTTAGTCAACCACTTTTGATGATAAAGTCAAAGTGAAGGGGTGAAAATATTAATTTCTCAATACTTAGGATATGAAATATCTAAAATTCCAAACTCAAGAACCAAACATAATACTCACAAATTATTGATCAATTTGTCAATAGAGTTCCTTTTTTACCAATATGTATAAAGTATTTTTTTACCAATCTAGTAAGCCATTTTTTTTTTATCAATTTGGTAATTTAGCTAATAATAATAGGTACAACCGGATTTATAGTATGATGGTAACTTTACCTAATTACGGAGTTTTGAGGTCGTTTGAAATTATGTCAGGTAGATATCTTGAAAGGGGTAGAAAACAAGTGGCGCATACAGGAAATTTGGCCAACGGGGGCGAACTTGCACTACAATTGAGTCACATATTTCACAAATAGTAAATTACATTATTAATATTGTTTGATTAGATTTAGTTTAAGATATATGTGTAAAAGTATGAATAAAAAGAAAATCAATTTGTATTACGTGTGTAAAGATGCAATTGCGGATAAATTTGAAATATTTATATGAATATAATATAAGTTAAAACATAACGGAATTTAGTGATTTTTTTAGCCTTTCATTCTTTTAATATGAAAGAAAACATTCTTAATCCTATTTTAGGGTTTTTCCTATACTTAAATCTTATTTTGGGGAATTTTCTATAAAATTTTAGATATAAACGGGAGTTGAGTTGAGATTGGGGGGGGGGGGGGGGGGGGGCTGCCTCCATAGTAGATAGGTAGAAAACCAAAATTATCATAAATTATACTATCCTTCATTCTTTAATTCTTGCAACAATTTGACTTTCACGCTTGCCAACGCATGACTGTAATTGTATTTAATTATGTACTAGTAAACATTATAAAAAGTTGATATTTTGGAAATTTACATTGATAGGAATTCTATAACATTTTATACGTAGTAATTTGATTATGTATATTAGTAGAAAATCGTGGTCAAAGTAAGGTCTGTGAATAGTGTAAAAATAATAATGTTGCAAGAATTAAACAATTTGTCACAATACACGTATAATCGGATTACATGATTTCACAAGATGTACTTACAATCGAGTTTTTTTTCGAATTAATGTTAATTAATTAATTAATTACGAAAATAATGCTGGAAAAAAAGTATTTACCAATATACTGCTGGCCCTTAACCACGGTCAGGGGTAAGTCGCCCAACGGTTGGGCGACTTACCCTTGAAATAAGATTGAAGGCGAGCAGCTACTGCCAGCCACGCACGATCGTGCCTAGGTCCGAAAACAGCATTTCAGCAGATTTTTCGCCCCAGTTCAACCCGGACTCATCTGTTTGCTATAAATAAGGTCTCTCTTCTCCTGTTTAAGTGTTACGAGCCAGATACAACACATTATAAAAAATACAACACACGTCTTCTCAATCAACATAAAAAACACCTTGAAAATACCGAGTTTTTTTTCCTAATTAATGTTAATTAATTAATTAATTACAAAAATAGGGCTGGGTTAAAAGTATTTACCAAAATACTGCTGGATTAACCATGGTCGGGGTAAGTCACCCAACCGTTGGGCGACTTACCCTTAAGTAAATTCAACGCAGACAGCCACAGAAACAGATCGCTAAACAAACCCCCCCTCGAGCTAAACTGCAGCGACCAACGACGAGTGACGACCGACGAACGACGAGAGCCATCTCCAACTCCGGCGAACCTTCATCTTCGGCGACCCCATTCCGGCGAACCTCCATCTCCAGCTCCAACACTCTTTCTTCTTGATTCTAGGTAAATCAAACTCCATTTCATCTCATTTTGAACTAGGGTTTTGAATGTTAAAATTTTCAAATTTTTGGATTATGAATTGATTGTGAATTCAATTGTTGTGAAATGTGGATATGTATGAAATGTTGAAATTTGATTTTAAATTGATTGTAAATTGTAGTGTGTATTTTGACATTTGGGCATTTGGGTAGACTTGAATGTAGCTAAATTTGGGTATTGAAATGTAGACTTGAATGCAGATATCAAAATTTGGGTAATTTCATATTGAAATGTGAATTGTTTGTGAATTTTGACTTTTGGATATATTACAATTTTGGTAGTTTTTTCTATTGAAAATTTGAATGTGTTTAAAATGTGTATATTGATGCCTACTCATGAATTTTGGACAATGCATTGTTATTAGAATATGGATTTCTCAAGCTTCCCAATCATATGTCATTGGGGAGGGAACTATTATGAGGATGCTGGGCAAATATGCCTTGAAGGTGATAGAACCAGCTTTATCATGGTTTCTCGTGGCGCTTGCATGCTGGAGATCCTTCAAAAAATACATGCACCCGTCTTCTCAATACAAAATACAACACATTATAAAAAATACAACACACGTCTTCTCAATCAACATAAAAAACACCTTGAAAATACCCTTTACAAACCAAATACATAACCTTCCATTCATAACCGGTATAACACAGTACAATCATCCAATATTCATAACAAGTAATCATCTAATATTCATACTCGAACACATCAAGACAACATACAAGACTTTACAAGAGAAAATACGTCAAATGTTGTAAATTGTTCCTACAACATCTACTGCATAAGAAAAACTACAATACAAAAGACAGACTACAAGTTCCAATCGTCAGCTTTGTCATGGAGATGTTGCTGCTCATGTCTACGCCTACGCCGTTGTCGTGGTTGAAGAACCACTCTCTCATGCTGCGTCTGGGATGATGAAGCCGCCGCTGCACTAGACGTGGATGGCATCTCCTGAGATGGGGGCATGTGTATAAGATGGCCGTAGTCGACTCGCCCCAACACATCTGAACACAAAGACGCAATGCCTGTCAGAGCCTGTCCATACAAGTCCACATCAGGACTATCGGTCACTGTGGCAGTAGCCCGCTGATGTATGCGCTGCAAAGCTCGTGTCTGAAATATGAAAGACAATTACATTTGCATTGAAATACATACAAATATTACATAAATAAAATGACTTACTTTACTAATTACTAATATACTCACCGTAAGATGCAAAGCTAAGGAGCTAGGCTGATAATGATGAGTAGGGAGTCTGAACGAAGGAGACACAAACAAACGAGTGATGTTGTAATACCATCCCATGTAGTCTCCTGAAACAGATGGCACATATGTCGGTGTCCCAGCCACAACTAGCTCAGCTCTCCTTTCCCACATAGTCACATATCAGACATGTCTGAGTGCCCAATCCTCTGTATGCTTTCCACGCCTATCCAGCCTATGCAGCTCAACATAAGTGTCGATAGGCCGTGGAACGACCTGCTCAAACCCAAACTGTCGCAAGACTCTATCAGGCAAATGAAGCTCAACAATGTCAAAACATATCAACGGCACACGTGCTCGCCATATGTGAGTATGCTCTCGTCCAGCTGGGGGCAACTCTGCTAACATCTCAGGTGTAAACGGCATCCATGTAATCTGTTTCATAATGATACAAAATTAGGAGATTTTATTTACATTTTATAGTTAATGTTATACTACCCACACCATACTTGGTTCTCAGACATCCGATCTAATGCATCCCTGTACACACCGAGCCCAGTAGCAGAGGACATGCGAGATAGACCAGCATATAACCATCTAACCATTCACGTAACAGTATCATTAATATGGATATTATTAATGTATTTACACACAACATACACTCACATAAATACAAACTCAATGTGGACACATACCGACGGCCTAGAGGGTCCTCGCCCCGTACATGATGAGGTCCTAGAAGACGTGGAGGCTCATCAGGCAGTGGCTGTCCATCAATGCCATGATATCCGACTATAATGGGACGCCCAATGTGGATATACTCCCATGACCAAATCTGGAGGAGTAGCAAAAATCCCCCAAGCTCTTTGCTCCCTCTCTGGCAGCCGCGACAAAGCTGTCTGTACAGGTAAGCCAGGGTGGCACTACCCCAGCTGAACTGTGATGCTACATCAAACCTCTCTAGCAAAGGCAAGTGCAGCACCTGAACCTCATTTCCGCTCTTGTCAGCGAAAATGGAGGCTCCCATCATCATCAATATATAAGCCCGAGCATGCTGCTGGATCATCACCTCATTAGCGTCGGGAGGAAGCACCTGGAAGTGCTCCCTCAACCATGGCATCCTCAGAGATGACCCCTGAAGGTCAGTCCTAAGAACGGGGCGGATACCTAACAACCGCTCACACTCATCCACCCACTGTCGACAAGCAGTGATGCTTTGCCTTCTCTCTATTTTTTTCAATTAAATCAGTGATGTTTGCGGAGTACTCGTGGCCTTGTGTGAGCCTCAATTTACTGGTTTCACGCCTAGTAACAAAATATGCGTTAACCCGGTAAAAAGACACCTGGACCAAGGCGGTGATGGGCAAATATCTAGCATTTTTCATGACGCTATTGAAAACCTCTGCCAGATTTGAAGTGATGGTACCGTATCTGTACCCGCCATCGTGGTGCAATGACCACATTTCCGGAGGAATGTTGGCCAAAAAGTGTCGTGCCTCCAAACTCATTTCACCTATCTTCTTGAACCCACCATCAAATTTCTTTTTCTGATGTTGCCGTGCGATCCACACAAAAATATTTTTTAGATGAATGTCTTTGAAATGAGTGTGCACATTTGATGCAAGATGGCGGATACATAGCCTATGATGCGCATAAGGCTCCTCCCAAGTACTGCCCACCTCATAAGCATGTACTTTCCCCCGTTCATAGGAAATTTCATTTTCAACCGCAAAGAACGGCTAGGATGAATCATTGTGACTGCATGTATTTTTTGAAGGATCTCCAGCATGCAAGCGCCACGAGAAACCATGACAAAGCTGGTTCTACCACCTTCAAGGCATATTTGCCCAGCATCCTCATAATAGTTCCCTCCCCAATGACATATGATTGGGAAGCTTGAGAAATCCATATTCTAATAACAATGCATTGTCCAAAATTCATGAGTAGGCATCAATATACACATTTTAAACACATTCAAATTTTCAATAGAAAAAACTACCAAAATTGTAATATATCCAAAAGTCAAAATTCACAAACAATTCACATTTCAATATGAAATTACCCAAATTTTGATATCTGCATTCAAGTCTACATTTCAATACCCAAATTTAGCTACATTCAAGTCTACCCAAATGCCCAAATGTCAAAATACACACTACAATTTACAATCAATTTAAAATCAAATTTCAACATTTCATACATATCCACATTTCACAACAATTGAATTCACAATCAATTCATAATCCAAAAATTCGAAAATTTTAACATTCAAAACCCTAAGTTCAAAATGAGATGAAATGGAGTTTGATTTACCTAGAATCAAGAAGAAAGAGTGTTGGAGCTGGAGATGGAGGTTCGCCGGAATGGGGTCGCCGAAGATGAAGGTTCGCCGGAGTTGGAGATGGCTCTCGTCGTTCGTCGTTCGTCACTCGTCGTTGGTTGCTGCAGTTTAGCTCGAGGGGGGTTTGTTTAGCGATCTGTTTCTATGGCTGTCTGCGTTGAGTTTACTTAAGGGTAAGTCGCCCAACGGTTGGGCGACTTATAAGTCGCCAAACGGTTTGGCGACTTATAAGTCGCCCAACCGTTGGGCGACTTACCTCGACCATGGTTAAACCAGCAGTATTTTGGTAAATACTTTTAACCCAACCCTATTTTCGTAATTAATTAACATTAATTAGGAAAAAAACTCCTTACAATCAGGCTAACGTATTCATATTTCATATAATGTGCTCTTTGTACAGTATAAAACTATAAATGGCGAAGTAACATGTGTAAGAGATTATGCAATTGAAGAATCAATTCGAATATATATTAATTAAAACAATTATTTGAACGGCTTCAAAACAAATTTTGTTTAAAGACTAAGGTTGCATTCCAGAAGTGAAAATTAGTACGTACAATAAGGGTTTGTTTGCAAACAATACTCATAACACTTTTGAACATTTTAAAGTGATTTGGAAAAAAATGATTAATAGTAAAAGTTAGTGGTGTTTGAGAAAAAGTGATTTTGAAAAGTAAAAGTTGATAGTATTTGATAAAATTAGTATTTTTTGCGCAATGGAAAAAGTAAAAAAACAGATTCTAGCTTTTAGCTATTAAGTGTTAATTTAAGTAGAAGTTGTCACTTGAAAACACTTTTTTCTAACTTTTTTAAGTCAAAAGTAGGGAAGCGCTTTTTTTAGTGTTTGCAAACTAACCCTAAATGTGTAGTTAAGTTGATTTCATTATGGTTCTAGATTTTTAATGGATTTATAATTAGTGATCCCAACATAGACGTGAAAAAATATCCAAGAAAATAGATACTCCGTATAAGTTTAACTAATACAAGGGCTGGGACTTTGGAACCAAGAACCGGAGAACCGAACCGGACCGAACCGTTATGACCCGGTTCGGTTCGGTTCCAACATTTATTAGTTATTTTTTAACGGTTCGGTTCCTATTTTTTTTTTATTAATGGTTCGGTTCTCGGTTCCTGAAAAAAATATGTACTAGGAACCGTTATATAGAATAATTAAAATTATATATATTTCTTATGAGTATATATATATATTTATGTATATTTACTTACTTATTTTTATATTACATTCATTATTTTAATTTAGTTATTCAACTATTTAAAACTATTATTCACTTCAACCGGTTCTCTTAGGCTTCTTAGGTCTCTCATTAGGTCAGAACTCCGGCGGGTCGGAACTTTGAAGGTCCAAAGTATTTAAAATTATTATTCTATTTAACTGTTTAAGCGTATTTGTATCGTAATTTCAAACGTAGAATGTCTTTTTGGCAAAAATTTAGTCATGATTTGTAAAAAAAAAAATCGAAGACTAGGAACCGTTAAATGACAAGAACCGAACCGTTAAGAACCGAACCGTTAGTAAAATTTCATATTTTCAAACGGTTCCACATATTTGGCCTCGGAACCGAACCGGTCCCAGGCCTAAGTCCTAACTAATACTACCTCAGTCCTCACCCAAGTTTGAGACCGAGAATGATGTAATTTTAAGAAAAGTACCGTTATTGTGAGAAAATTAATTCTTATGATATGATGCTTAACTCCTAACATTTCCTCATTTTCCTGTTTGTATAAAGTGTGTAAACAGACAAAATTGTTGCCACTATGATAGGATGGATAGATCTTGACACCATTATGCTCCATTTGACTCTGCACAGAAGCATATTCCATGGTAACCATTGACCCCAAGTTAATTAATGTTGAAACAAAAATTGCTTTGAATAGGACTAAAATATAAATTGTGTACAAATAAAACTCTCGATATGATTTTATAATCCTATTGAAAGTACAAATCTTTTTCAATTAGGAGTGTAAACAATAGTGATTCTAATTGTACATTTGTCTATATTTTAATTCTATCGAAAGAATTATTTCATGTTAAATTTGACAGTCTAGTTATTGGGCCATTTTGGTTAGTACAAACCACAAAGCTATCATGGGTGGTGTCAATCCACTACACGTTGGGCATAGGACGGCCCAAACGGAGCAGGAAGGACACATGTCCAACATTAGCACCTGCTCCTCCCTCTCTGATCATTTCCTCTGCTTCTTTAGCAAGTCTCACAGCATCCCTGTATTTAATGAAAAAATGAGCGGCAGCTATTGTTTAAAATTAAAATACTGCGTAGTGAAAAAAAACTGCATCTGTACCTGATTACGAGTTCTTCAGGCATAGAGACTTCAACTTGAAGAATTGTCTGCTTACCTTCCAACACGTGTCGTGTAATCCTCTCCACCATTATTTTCTGTAATTCAAGATTTCTTTTCAATTTAACAGAAGTTCTAAAGAAGATCAAAAAATGAAATATCGTTCAATCCCATAACTCGTACTTTTACACTACAATGTTTATATTCCATAAATGATTGTCCAATTTGATTATTCAGTCGGCCGTGTTGGACTATTTTAACACCATTTCAAATGGAACCATCGGCTAAAAACTAAAATGTACTTGAAATACTATTTTGCTACAATGAAAGTAATTAAGGTACCATTATGCATTTTACCCACTACGTGTATATATCATGGTAAGATCGGAAAACAATAAGCTGTAAATATGCAATTCCTCAGTATGGAGAAGATGATAATATGCAGTGCACCTCTGAAAATTTGGACGACAAGACATTTGAAATAGTCCTTGTAAGCTCCTCCGTATGGTGCTGCTCAAAAGAAGACATGGTGTTGTAGAACTCCACTGTCTCCTCTTTGTTCTTATGATGATGATGATGATGATGTGAAGTTGAAGGACCTGCATATTAAATAAGCTACTTAAAGACTGCAAAATGAGAAGGAAAGAACAACAAATGAGAAGATTGTTGTTGCCACCTATGTGTACAAAGACTTCAACAACTTGAGGGTGTGATCGCTGAATTTCATGTCGTACAAGTTCCCCAATTTCATGTGCAGCACTCACACTACAAAAGGGATCCACCTGCATCATAAGAGGAAAGAATATATACTTACTAGCTTAATAAGTCACTCCACTTTCTAAAGTTTACTCTTAAGGTTTGATTTCCAGTACATATTGCCTCCAAAAATTAGGTACAAATATACCTTAACTTTTTCCTAGAGGTGAGGATACATTTTCTAAAACAAAAATTTGAAACACCGCCAAATATGTTATTTTATATATTGTGAATGAAAATCATGATAAGCAATGGTATGTGACCCATAATTGGTTCATATATTTTAGTATTAAGCTGTAGTATTTGTTTTTAAGCAATGGTAGCCAACTAGCCACATAGATGAAGTAGAATAAAGTAATTTTAGAGATTTCTGTGAAGAATAATTTTAGTGGAATTCACCAACCTCAACATTAACATCAAGATACAAAAATGAGCCTGCTCTCCTTCCTCTGAGGTGATTGCATCCCTGTGTATGCAAAAACAGAAAAGACCATTATGAAAAGGGCATTTCTTACATGATACAAGGGGATGGAACATGTAAAATTAAAAAGAGTAAAACTAGAGACTTTTGGAGAACTGAGTGAAAATATGAAGAAACTTGGATCTTGAACAAGATTTTGGATGAAAGTGATATTGTAATCAAGGTATTCTGTCAGTTGCCGTGTTCCACTTATCTTTGATACTTTGATCCACTATTATTATGGTGAGAACTTGAGATAACTAAGTAAATAAGTTTATTTTTAAAGGCATTATCTCTTCATGACTTCCACACTCTTACGCTTTATGAAGATTGGGGCAAATGAATCATTTTCGGGATGGCCTCGTGTCTGAAATTTTTAGAATGCAATTAACCAGATATACTATTTTATTACCCAGAGCCACTAAAAATCTCATCTAGCTCTATGTATAGCCCACAAAAACTGCTTAGTTTGCTAAAACACTCATCAATAAGATAGTCCAATCAAATCGATGTAGAGGTTGAAGCCAAAAGGAATTGCAAAATCAGAAATTGAAAAATAGTTTCCATTGTTATTCGGGGAGAGATAGCGTGCCTTAACCCCATTGACTTGCAGTATTGTGCTTCTGAAGGGCTCCAAAACATGAGAAGGGATGGCAGCATCAACTAATTCCAGGACACTATGAACAAAGATAACAATTATTAGATATTTACATACGAGTATATGACCATTACCCCAACATTACATGCAAGAAACGCTCTGGATCAAGATGGAGATGTGATTAAGCATGAGCTGTCTAAGCAAAGCAAAGCAAAAAAAATGATAACTTAATACTACGTATCTCTTTACAAGAAGAAGGGGTAATTGTAATGCACACGCATATACTCAATCTGTTTACTTTACTCGTTCCAATAGAGTTTTCATGGAAATTAAGAGCAGAGAGTTGTTTACAATAGTGAAAAACATAAGAAAAGGTGAAAGTACAAAATGTTGGAGAGAGAAGATGAAAAACTAAGGATATTTATCTCTATTAGAGATGTATCTCTTTTAGAGATTAAAAAGTAAAAAGAATTGCTAAAACGGAAAATGAAACAAGCAATAGTAAACTTCCACAAAAGGAAAGTGGAGGAAGTAAAAGTTAACAGAGTACACACACATGTAATACATATATGTATTTATACCTCTGGTGACCAGTTTCCATTCCTGCTTTTAGGATCATACCAGCAACAACAAGTCCAGCAAGAGGATCCAAGAAACTCACTCCAAGAAAAGATCCACCTCATGATTTCAGACCGATAGTTCAATGTGCATTTTATGAAGTCAGTTACAACTTACAATGAAAGGTTCATCATATGGTGTACAAGAGAAAAAATAACAAATGGTTGAAAGGCACACAAATAAACCCCATAAACTCTTATTTCATCTTATCAACCTTCATTTTCACCAAAGACTAAATAATTTCTCTGTGCTTGCTGAATCGGCTGATAAGTGATAATGAAAAAAGAAGTGAATAATTTAAGATTTTAGATAAAATTACAGAATATGACAATTCTAGATTCACTTTTAGAAATTATTTCAATAGTTTAAAAAAAACTTTTTATATATTTGTCAATAGCCCAGCAG